TTTGTGAGAGTGTGCTTGAGGTGGTTGCATGAGTGTGTGTTTGTGAGAGTGTGAGTGTGAGTGAGTGTGTGTGAGTGTGAGTGAGTGCGTGTGAGTGTGTGTGTGTGTGAGAGTGTGAGTGAGTGTTTGTGAGAGTGTGTGCTTGAGGTGGTTGCATGAGTGTGTGTGTGAGAGCGTGTGTGTGTTTGAGGTGGTTGCGTGAGTGTGTGTGTGTGTGTGTGCTTGCGTGAGTGTGTGTGTTTGAGGTGGTTGCATGAGTGTGTGTTTGTGAGTGTGTGTGTGTGCGTGAGTGTGTGTGTGAGTGTGAGTGAGTGTGCGTGTGAGTGTTTGTGAGAATGTGAGTGAGTGTTTGTGAGAGTGAGTGAGTGTGTGTGAGAGTGTGTGCTTGAGGTGGTTGCGTGAGAGTGTGTGTGTGAGAGAGAGAGAGTGTGTGTGTGAGAGAGAGAGAGTGTGTGTGTGAGAGAGAGAGAGTGTGTGTGTGAGAGAGAGAGAGTGTGTGTGTGAGAGAGAGAGAGTGTGTGTGTGAGAGAGAGAGAGTGTGTGTGTGAGAGAGAGAGAGTGTGTGTGTGAGAGAGAGAGAGTGTGTGTGTGAGAGAGAGAGAGTGTGTGTGTGAGAGAGAGAGAGTGTGTGTGTGAGAGAGAGAGAGTGTGTGTGTGAGAGAGAGAGAGTGTGTGTGTGAGAGAGAGAGAGTGTGTGTGTGAGAGAGAGAGAGTGTGTGTGTGAGAGAGAGAGAGTGTGTGTGTGAGAGAGAGAGAGTGTGTGTGTGAGAGAGAGAGAGTGTGTGTGTGAGAGAGAGAGAGTGTGTGTGTGAGAGAGAGAGAGTGTGTGTGTGAGAGAGAGAGAGTGTGTGTGTGAGAGAGAGAGAGTGTGTGTGTGAGAGAGAGAGAGTGTGTGTGTGAGAGAGAGAGAGTGTGTGTGTGAGAGAGAGAGAGTGTGTGTGTGAGAGAGAGAGAGTGTGTGTGTGAGAGAGAGAGAGTGTGTGTGTGAGAGAGAGAGAGTGTGTGTGTGAGAGAGAGAGAGTGTGTGTGTGAGAGAGAGAGAGTGTGTGTGTGAGAGAGAGAGAGTGTGTGTGTGAGAGAGAGAGAGTGTGTGTGTGTGTGTTTGTGAGAGTGTGAGTGAGTGTGTTTGTGAGAGTGTGTGAGAGTGTGTGCTTGAGGTGGTTGCATGAGTGAGTGTGTTTGTGAGAGAGTGTGTGAGAGAATGTGTGTGTTTGAGGTGGTTGCGTGAGTGTGTGTGTGTGTGTGTGTGCGTGTGAGAGTGTGAGTGAGTGTTTGTGAGAGTGTGAGTGAGTGTTTGTGAGAGTGAGTGAGTGTGTTTGTGAGAGTGAGTGAGTGTGTGTGTTTGTGAGTGTGTGTGTGTTTGAGGTGGTTGCGTGAGTGTGTGTGTTTGAGAGGACAGTGATTTGTTTGGAAGTTTTTTGCCGTACAAACTGCGTCTCGTTCACTAACCGATATGTGGATTATTCATATTTATTCGCCTAATGCACAAGCGTACACACGTGAATTTGCTTGAAAGCTCATTGTAATGAATTGGTAGTATTGTAAATGAACGACTGCATTCCTGAGGTTTGTTATTGGTATAAAACTCACCCAAATCATCTCCATATATCGGCTTTCTGCACAATATTGCCTTTACAGCCTTTCGTCATTTTCACAAAACATGTAACTCCAAAATAAACTCTAAAGATGTGCAGAAGATCCTTGAGCAATGCCAAGTGTGTCATCCTCAAAATCATTTCAAACACAAACACAAACACTCATTACACAGATCCAGACTATAGACCGCTCGTTAGCAGTATATCTCTGTATTTTTATGCAGAGGAACTTTGCATCTCCAGCTTTATCGCAGCTTATCTCACTCTTTTACGTATATATTTTAATGATAAGCGTTAAGTATATTTTAATAATATTTATTAATATATATTTTATATTATTATATTTTAATAGAATATAAAATATATTTTAATAATATGTTTTTAATGGTATGCATTGCATATATTTGAATCAGTATTAAATATAAGCATTAAATATGCATGTATAAAATGTGATTTGTGTGTGTGTGTGATTTCAATAGTTCTAAAAAAAATCATAAATTTATAATAAATTTTTGTATGAAAGTTATTTATGAATTATGATTAATAATTGGGAATATTTGACAAAAACCCAATGAATAGCTTAACACTATATCCGTGATCAAAATACAGCTGTGGCAACTTTAACATTTGAAAGGATACTATGACAAAGTTATCGCTTTTTTTTTTCATGAATATATGGTTGACCTGAAGAATGAAAGCTGTGTCATACACTTGGAAAATCATGAGCTATATCACCGCTTATTGACACTAGAGGTGTGACAACACACTTAGCTCACGAGACGAGACATATACTTGGTTCACTAGAACGAGATGATATGTTAATACTATTTTAAAGAAATTTTCAATGACAAAATATTTGTCTTTTAATCACAAAAAGTAAAACAATGCAGTTGTATTTTGAAATATTTTAACTAATCTAGGGCTGTAACTAATGATTATTTTGGTAATCAAGTAATCTACTGATTATTTTGACAATGGAGTAATCTGATATTTTTAGTAACACAAACAGACCTAAGTGAAAACCAGGCTTTAGCATGACTATATATAAACTAACGATGAGGCAATAATAACTGGCTCAAATAAAATATCAAAATCAGTATCAAGAACAACACTGTTAAAATACATAATGTAATATGCCTATACATAATATGAACATAACCAACTTAAGTACATTATGTGTTATAACAAACACCTGCAGAGGGCGCCACAGGCCTGGTGACGTTCCACTTTACAGCGTGATTAAACCATGTTTAAATCCATTTAATTTTAATATTTGGCCACATGCAAACTCAGAAACTTTTATTTTTAAATCGCGATGTACAATACATGGCATATTTAGACATAGGTTGATGTATTCTCCTGTGTTGGCAAAGGTTTATGAATAATTACAAATTTAGTGAGATAATTCACTGTTTTCTATGTAAATATGCACTCTTACAGTGCCAAATTATAGAAGGAAAACTCTGCTATAGAAAATTAATATCTAGTTGTAAATTTGTAAAAATCTTGTATTCACAGAGATGTTCTGACACAACAGAACCAGGTGTGCGTGAGCTTTCTGTCTTGTAGGGTCACATGTCTTTGGTCCATGTTGCGTTCACACCCAGGTTCAGATCGCGGCGTTCACACTTATTCACACCACACTAACAGAGCAATCGCACCAGCTTTAATCGAACCTAACATCACAAGTGTGAACATCCCTATTTGAAATGTCATAGAAACACTTTAGTTCAGCTAAAATCATTCCAGTTAGTTTGTATCTTTCGGTTTGGTGTGCAAATGGCAGTGTGGATGCTAAGCGAATCAGAACTAAATTTCATGTTCTTTTTTGTTCCGGAGCAAAGGTAAACACACTTAAAGCGCATGCAAACACACTTAGGCCCAATCCCAATTCTACCCCTTAGCCCTTCCCCTTTCCCCTACCCCTCCATGTTGTGCGATCACGTGAAGGGTAGGGGTGTCTCGATTCTCTTTTGGTTGGAGAAGTAGGGGAAAGGGCCAGATAGCCCTTCAAACAAAGATTTTTCGGGACCACACTTCAAACGAAGGGGTATGAGGATTATCTCAGCGGCTGCCCGAGCGAACAAAAAGACCCACAAATGTAAGCATTATTGACGTTAATAAAGATTGTAATGAGCATAAATCATTTGTTTTATGTTACATTCAATCGTGTGTTCATATTTACGGTGATGTTATTCAAAGAAACGTA